CGAAAGGTCAAATAAATTCGGAAAGTGACTAACTATCTCGAGCTTAATAGAAATGGGATTGTCTATTTTAAAAGGCAATCAAGGGTTCAGATGGCATTCCTAATAATCTTTTATTCGATAATTAAATAACAAATTAGGATACGCACGTGTAATACACACGTATTTATTTTAAATTATATAAATTTTTTTAAACATCTTGTGTTAAAATGTGTACCTACATTTATTAAAAATCAGACTAACTACTTTAATTATAATAAAGTATTAAAATTGTTATTATACCGAATTTGGTAATAAATTATTACTGTAATGTATATAGAACACTAATTTATATTTTAATTAATTTTATAATTATTTATTGTCATGATACTTGAATAAAAAAGTAATGAAATTGTAAGAACACGTGATCTCGCTGACTTGTTCATTCGAATAAATAATAAATAATTAATAATAATTCGAAAAAATATAAAAGATTGTTATTTGGGTGGCCTCCCCACTTCTTGTCCAACCGTTAAACAGAGCGGAGCTCCCTGCTGTATCAAGAGTGAACAAGTATAGTAAACCACGTGGTCATTATATAAAAAATATCACAATTATTGTTGATGAGTCTTAAAGAAGCTATAGTTAAATAAGTCGAATGGATTAACAGAAGTTGGGTATTTATGTTATATTATGTGTTATATGTAACAATGTGTTATATGTTTACAAAGTAAAATAAGTAAATATGATTTAATAGTATGATATGTATATATAAATGAATTGTGCGTATTGTAAATATTAATACCCTCATTTTAAGACACGCGTTGATTTTGAAAATATCTCGTAATTCTTTGACAGATACAGAGCCCTAACACCTTAATCCGGGGGGAGAGGGGATTGGTAATAATGGGAATTAACAATCTCATTGCTAGCAATATACCCCATTAGGTCGACCTCCACGCGGTTCCCCTGGAAAACTTGTGATTGTTAGTCACGATAGGCCAACTGACCTGCTTCATCCTCACCTATCATCCCTCACTGGTGCTCCGACAGCGTATACCATTAGCGCAGGCGGTGAACACTATTCCATTATCATCCATTAAAAAAAACCACCTTAGTCCTTAGAAATGACAATAAGCATGGGAGGTATCATGGTCGAAAGAGTATACTCTGTTATGACCATGGTACTGCTTATGTCTATAGGCTACGACTGCCACTTTCCATCAAATGGGCCGTCAGCTTGTTTGGCATTCTAAGTCATATAATATTTATATATATGATAATGACTTTAATTTTGAAATTTATATAATATTTACAAGAAGAATAATTATGAGGGTAGTCAATCTAACTGCTGCCGTTTTTTTTTTTTATTTATGCGAATTTGTTTTTCATTCCAAGTTTAAATTTTTAATTATCTTATATTTGATCCTTGGACATTCCAATACGACATTTTCCATGCCGCCTTCCGTTACTGAATGCGAATGTTAAGTAACCTCTTTTTTTATTTTCATTAATATATAATAAAAAATATCTAATAACACACCGATTTCACACGATCGATTATCACACCGCCGCCATAAAAATATAATAGTATTCATTCAGGTGGTAATAATTTATTAAATAATATCTTCAGTATTTCACTGTCAATATTGAACAATTTAAAATATTCATAAAATAGTTAAACTTCTAATACCTAAATCTATATTAGTTATTGAACCTTTTTTGATGTAGATTCTTAATTTCAATGAAAGTTATAAAGCAATTTGATAGGTATTTAAAATAGATGTAAAAAGGATTATTTTTTTAAGACAAAGCGGTTTATCTGCAAAATCTGTAGTTCAGTTCTATTTAATGGTTAGATCAATACTCTTGCGGTTTAGAAATAGAGATTTTAACTTATTTTATACTCAAAACTTGTACTTGCGGTAAGTACCGCAAAAAGTTTCATTGTGATGTTGTTAGAATACTAAAACTAGTTACTATTATTAAATGTGAATAATACGAATAATTCAATATTGCAATTTTTATGTCTAATTTATTAAAATACAAATACAAATTTTCAAAATGTTTTACTGTAATTATAAAACTTATCACATAAATCTTCTAATTAAACCGAAAATGTATATTTGTGTTCCACTAATATTATAAATGGAAAATTACATAAACGTTTGAATATTTAAATATATTAATTTGATTTTTTTAAATGGTTTATTGGATTTTAATGAAATATGGTTAACAAAAATTAACTCATTTTTTTTCAACATTCACAAAGAAGAAGACGTACGTTATAGATCTATGTATATGTCCTCAGAAGTGGCATTGGTGACGTCGTAGGTGTTAAAATATCGTATAAGATAAAAATATACATAAAAACAGCTTTATGTACTTATCGTATAAATAAATCAGTCGATTGACATACGTCTGAAAATCGAACCCGTACCAAATAACGTCCCAAGAGATAACAACGCATTTCCAAACACAAATGTAAGATAGAAAATATTTTAAGCGACTTTTATTTTCTTCATAAAAGGCTTTCGAATATATGGTCTGGCCCCAGTCAGTATACAATGTTATGTTGACGTGTTAGGTTTTATATTAAAACAACAATTAATCAGTAAGTAAATGCACAGCACACAAATGGCACGTCCGCAAACCACAGATGACAAATTGAAATTACCCGTGGCGAGTGCCGCCATCTTTGATTTACGCCTCACCATATTTTTTTGTACACACTGCATACCCTATTAATAGGAAAAAATAATGTAAAACAACTTAACATATTTCTTTAGAATTTATTTTGTTTTTTTTTTAGTACAAAATAAATCCAAATTCTAACAATTGCAACATTAAATCAAACATAGTGGTCCATTTATGTCATTTTGATTGACGTTAGTTAGGGCAGTGATGAAGATCGCAATATAACTGTCTAATCTGTCAGATTTTCTCATTATATTATTTTCAGTTCGAAATCTATATTCGTGCTTTATTTTATTTATAAAAATTAAATATCAATTTTTATATTTTGCAAATCTTTTATAAATATTTGCAACAATATTTACATTGTAATTTTGTGAAAAATAATTTATAGTTATAATGAAACAAATAAGTTTCACTGTAGCTATTTTTCAACATATACAATTTGATAAATCAAAACATTTTTGTATTAAAAAACTAGTTATGAAATCAATATACTTTTATTTTTGAAATAATTCTGGAATTTTCTTAGTTTATTTGGATAGTGTACTCTACCCGAATTGGGCTCAAAACAAAAAATCACTTAATTTGAATTAATTTTAACTGAAAATTTTAAAATACATTTACCATTTTATATATTTATATAGGAATTTAAGATTTATATATTATTGATGTAACTAAATATTAAAAATATTTTTAAACTAAAATATGTACGAGTATTAGCCTTCTATTATGCGAATAATCTTATAAGAAAAGACCCGTGTCCTACATTACATTAAAGAGTTATTACGATAGCAATGATGATGAACAATACATGATCATTTGAAATGATATTATCATTCACTTTTAATTATTTTCAAATTATTATGAATAAAAAAATTACAAAAATGAACATTGTTTACGGTGTCTTTATAATGTTTTTATAGCCTCTCTTATTCCTTTAATCAAGCTTTTGCGAGCATTTAAAGATATTTTTAATAACCTTGATTAACATGAAACTGCTTAATGATGTGATTTACTCTCAAAAAATTTACAGACTAAGACCGCTCTCGCCATAATTATACTGGACTACTGAAAACGCTTTTAAATTTTAAATTCATATCAAATGAGGTTCTTTTCCTATATAATACCATGATTAACAAAATTAATTCATAAATTTAAAGTGTTATTTACTATAATAATAACAAAGATATAAATAATAAATTTTTGAAAATATATTTTCTTTATACTATTGCGTACTTGTAAATCTGCTGTTATACTCGTACAATATATGAATATTGAGTACCTATAGATGTAAAATAATATTGTTTTAGAATACGAGCAAGGGATAAAATTTTAGGTCATTCTGAACATTCAAAGGTATTTAATTGTATTTAAAAATCGATGTGTATTTCATTACAGTAAGAATGTTAAGGCATTGCGAGAGGGTTACCCTAAACTTCCATACTGTGAAACCCTCTCTTCCTCCCCTCCCTCCCTGCCCCATTTACGATCCCAAATGTCCTGTGTCGGTAGATAAGGGGTCGTTTATAATATTTCTATGAAGACAAGTTTAGCCTCGGTTTAATAAATAATCCTTTTTGATAAACTTCTTAATTTTTCGTTGTAATTTGTTACTTTATTACCCTAGACACCCATTAACTGATTAACATCTCATTTTGAACGCATGGCTCTTACTGTATAACAAATTATTACCAATAACTAAATTAATTTGAAAAACAGCAGCGAATTTTGTTAGATTCTAATAAACTTGGCGAAATGTGGACATGTCATATTAGTGTATGTGTGTGGGTATAAGTGTCCTTTATATTTTTTGTTACCAAATTGGTCATTTGAGAGTAGCCATGGGGTTTTACTTAAAACTTTCATTCTCGTACGTTTATACGTAAATCCAGTACAAGTATACATGCATTGTTCTATAATCGCTTTTTATGGTGTCGCGAGATAGAAAAGCACTTCTTTCCAGTTTCAGAATGTCGTAAAAGAGGATTAGAGGTCATCGCTGATACATTTTATTCTTATTTATGGCAGAGAAATTAGTGTATGGAGGTATAGCACCATAATCCTCATGAATCCTTAATGGGCAGCATGGGAACTACACAGTGTATTATGACGTCTTTAATACAATATGTAAGTCTACAAGTATATGCAACGGTTACAACTTTCTATCAGGTAGGCCGATAGTTTGTTTATACAAAGAAAATCCTATATGTCTCAAATGTAAATTACAATTAAAATTAAAAAAAATCGTTAAGTTTCTAAATATCATTATGGAATATGTAGTAGTTCATGTAATAAATTATTGTTCATATAAATAATGTTTGTTTCAGGTAAAAAAATAACGCATTGACGCTGTATTTTGAACAACATACGTAAGTATTTGAAAACGATTAAAATAAACAATATTTTTGTAGTAAACAACACATCTGGTGAAGCACTGTTGGTATTAGTAATGGCATTTTACTTGCTAATTGACGCGTAGCTAAAATTAAATTGAAGAATTGAACTGAAAAATTTTTCATGCTTTAGCTACTATTTATTTTGTCATTTTTATATTGCAATATCAATATTAGTTACCAATACAAATTACAAATGATATAAACTAAACAGTGTGACTAATAGCTGAAGAGAGCTTGTACTGCTGGTTTAGAAACAACTCATAAAATGTATGTCCTTATTTTTTTTTTTTTGTAAATGCTCACATTATGCTTAGAAAATATCCAGACTAAAGAGAATAAAACAGACTTACCTACTCATGAATGCTGTGTAATTCTAGCTTTTTTTTTAGTGGATGATAATGAAATGGTAACCCCGCCTGCGCTAACGGTATACGCTGGCGGGGCACCAGTGATAGATGATAGGTGAAGATGAAAAGGCAGGTCAGTTAGCCCATCGTGATGAATACACTTAGAATTCAGCACGATGGTTTCCAGGGGAGACCACGGGGAGATCGACCTGTTAGGGTATATTATTAGCAGTGGAACTGATAATCCGCATTACTAACAATCCCTTCTCCCCCGTGATTCTAGCTTAGAATAGGCCACCCCTTCAATTCTCGTGAGGGTGTTGGGCGACAAAGGAAACATAATGGTCGAGGTATGGACAGCAGCGTCTCTCTTAAAACATCATAAAAGCCTAACTGCAGTAGCGAGTAACCGCCTGCTAAGCGTGACAACTACTGGCAAAACCCCCCTTTGTGAGGGAGGTCTATTCGGTTCAGCAATAGATAATTAAGAGCTGATATGATGCTCATGAACAATTTTTTTTTTATTGAGCAAAGATCGAACTGCAAACATAAAAGGTGAAGGGGTGTGTTGCATCGCTACACCAAGCTCAGATGGATGGATTACTCCTATTTAAAAGTACTTATCTAATGTCCACTCTTTAATATAACCTAAAATGCTCTTTACTTAACATAATAACTTTACGTACAATACCGTACACTTCTCAAATAAATACTTTCACATAATGGATGAAAGAGGACGGACAGCGGATTGAAGGATGACCATGCATAATACTGGAGTTTCGGGACATTACTGAAAATCCTCTATACACGAGACAGTAATAAGGTATATAAAGTAAAAACATTGGAAACCACAGTGGACTAATGAATGGATGGGTTTTTCGTGAGAATTACGTGCGTACAAGCGTATACGAGTATGATAATTTGAGAATCATCTCTGAATTTATTTCAAGTATATTTGCAAAGAGAAGGCGTTTTTAACTCGTGATTTGAATATAATTTGCTAATTAAAGCTATATTTATAATTCTTTTTTAATCGAAAGGGTTTAGTTCCATGTTGTATCAAGCTTCAAATTGGTATAAAGGTTAATAAAAGAATCATTAAAATCAAATCATGATTGATGAAGATATCATGTAACATAATACAAATAAAACACAATCTATTTAGAACCTCCTTCTTAAAATTGTAGAATATATAAATGGAATTAAGATCGTAACTTACATAAAAGTTCTATCACTAAATTCTTTCTATCGGGCACTGATATATAAACACAAAATATACTCGTTGACTGAGCATTGCTGACGCAATGATATTTACCATTTTTTTTTTCTTTTTTTGGTACAGGCCATTAACATTAACAAGTGACAGAATCCGTTTAAAAAAACAATACCGAAAAATTATAGTATGGCTTCTCAAATTACTTCTATCTATCTAAACTCTAGAAAATTCTATACACAGTGGCATCTAGTGGTAACAACAAACATATTTAATAACAGCAATTCTCCTAACAATAACTAATTGACTTACAAAAGAATTAATTAATATATTACTTAATATTTTCGCAAATTATCCGTTTATATGATTACATTTTTAATTATAAAGGATTTTTCCGATGTTAATTTTATCAATATAGAATCTTTTTTAATAAAAAAAAAATTACGATAATTACTGATATTGTGTGATAATGTTGTCTGTTTTCTCTGTGTGATCTAAAATAGTAATTTGAATTTTTGTTAATATCTATATATGAATACTCAGAGTAAGTGTTATTAACGGGGTAATAGATATTAATCAAAGAAAAACAAGCGGCAAATAAAGAAAGAAATTCACCAATACATTATCATTAATTGCCAACATGGATCCACTTCCGAGCCCTAAATACGTCACTGATGTTATTCCCTTATTTTTTCTCCTTTTCTTTTGTGACCTCGATCGTTCGGGTCTAGTGACGGCTCAATTTTATAAATAATCCAGAATATTCGATACAGCGTATTTTGTTTCTGAAATATGGTGATTCGAATAGTGAAATCTGCTGACACGAAAACAACAATTTTATTGACAGTTAGCGTAACGTAAAACATTACCCAAAGTAAAGGAGACATGTTATCCTTATTTATTTTACACTTATTTTTAGATTTTTTACAAGTTAACAAAAATAGAAAATAATTTAAGAGAGCGGAAAAATAGAAACGTAAATAGTCCAATAATAATCTGTATAGTAGTACTTTTTTTTCCTTTTAATTAATGACAATGGAATGGTAACCCCGCCAGCACTAACGGTATAAACTGGCGGGGCACCAGTGAATGATGATAGGTGAAATGAAAAGGTAGGTCAGTTAGCCCACCGTGATGAATACACCTGGAATTCAACACGATGGTTTCCAGAGGAGATAACATGGACGTCAACCTGGACATATTGATATATGAAGGATATATTGCCCGTAGTGTAGTATTGGACTGGTAGTTCACTTATAATAGTACTAGTACCCGTAGTGTGAAGATGTTGCCCTCTAGTGTTAAAAGTTTCTAAGGCGCTTTCGTTATATACAAAGGTCCAAGACGAGGCTTACTAGATGAGAATTTTACGTTCTCTTCGAAGAGCAAAACAAGTGACAATTATTTTTAAACTAGCTTTTACCAATATGTTCACTGTCCGGAATAAAAAGTAGCTAGTATAATGTCTTTCCTTCTCCATTTCATATAGTACGTATATACCAAACTTTATAGTGATTAATTAAGCCGTCTTAGCTCAGAGGTAACAAACAAATATACTGACTTACAAATTTTTGCATTATTTCCGAACCGATACGACAACATAACCTTCAAGAAAAGAGTACATTCCTTTTTAAAAGGCCGGCATCACACCTGCAATGCCGTAGGTGGTGTGGGTGACTATGGGCGGCGGTAGTCACTTACCATCAGGTGAGCCGCATGTTCGTTTGCCCCCTGTGTTGTAAAAAAAAAATTATAATATTAGTATGACTGATCCAAACATGTATTTAAAAATACATGTTTAAGGTTGGATTCATCTTGGACTCCCCGAACCGCAATAAAGCGCTGTCCGACTGAACTATCATAAAAATAAATAGGTTCTATAAATATTGGCGTCAAGTTTATCGATTTTATAATTAAGAAAAGAATAAAGCTCCAATAATAATGTTCGATACAGAATATTCTACTTGTTAAAAGTTTTATACGCATTTTGTAAAAGCGACCGGTCAAGAGAATTGCTTTCGTATCGTCTATTCCATTATTCTTTCCGCGCTGTTGGTTCCCTCTTTGTACATTTCAACTTCTCTGAGTAAATTGTAGAATCAGTTTTATTAGACTAGAACCGAGAGAAAAAAGCAAGTACTTACATTTTGTAAGTACTTGCTTTTTTTACTTTTCAAATAAACGAAAACTGTTTAATAGACACATGATTAAATTAAGAATATTTGAATTTAGAACGTATAAGTAGAAACAAATAGATTTTTCTTCGCAACGAACAGTTTTTTACTCCGTAAAGAAAACCAGTAGCTTTTATCATCTCAAAATTAATATGGAAACAATATTGGAGTAAATTCTATAAATTATTAAAAAAAAATTAAAATTCATTCATAATTGAAGACTTCATCATTAGACTGATATAAATACAAATAAATTAAAAACCGCTTTAATTGAAAGATTAAAGGATTTTATAGGTCCATCAAATTAACACTCATTATTTCGTCGTATGTTATTTTGTGTCATTGTTTTATCTTTATGTCACAATCCTTTGGTTTTAAGCTATATTTTACTTTGTATAATATTTAGCATACAGTAAAGGTTAAACAGGTCTCTATAAATACCTTTGAAGGTGTCCTATCGAAAGTTTCAGTCGTATTCCTATTTTTAAACAGACTTATAACTCGAGGGAGGTAGGAAAAAGCGGTGGTTATCCTTCCGTTACTTTAATATTTAATATTATTTGGCTGAAGTATCGAAAACTCAATTACAAACGCCATTGTCGATAAAAGGGGTCAATTCTGAAATGTTATTCTTCAAATTCTATAGATTGGCTGTACAAAACAATCAATAGCAGTATACTTCAAAGAATATTGTGACAGCTGCCAAAAATTTAGAATTCTAAAAGATCGCGATTGACGATCATATTTCAATATTGAAAATATTTATTACATTTCACCGCGTACGCCAAAAATCCTCTTATTCACATTATAATACAGAAAGCAATATAATATAACACCCAAATTTTAAATATTTTGAAATTATCATTGCTAAACATATAATAAGTTTATAATCTGAATTAAAACGCTAAAATTAAAATTATTACGTATTTTCTAATGACCGACCATTAATTTGGTGACGATATTAAATTAATCTTTCAACACTCGCATCACTTTAATCCAATCCACTTATGTATATTAAACCCGAAAATTTAAAATTAAATATTAATTAAAATTTACACAATTTAGATATATATATAAAAAAAACAAAGTATAATGAAAGCGATTCTAAAGTTTTGCTCTGTTTATCTCGTACATTAATGATTTTGTAAAATATTATAGACAGTATTAAGAGTTTAATATTAATAATATATATTATACCGCCTCGACTCGAAATGATTTGGTCGATATTATAACAAAATA